AAGAGAGATCACAGCAGCCTTGCACTGTCTCACTGTGCATTACAGAATCCAGGATAAAGTGACACTGTTTGTGTTTAAAGCATTGAATGGCATTCATCTGCATACATGGTAGATATGTTGAACCAGGTTTGAACCTCCAGTTAGATGGATGAGTTTGGTTATGTTTGTGATGTTCTGTGGACATCATTTAAGAACAGAACCTGTGAAACACTCAGACCTGCTTTATATGTCACCTCTTTTCTTATTGCCCGTGTAATTTCTTTTTATCCTACAGTCAGGCCTCTAAAACTATACAAGAAAATAGAATATTTATATGTAACCAAAATATATTTAAACTCATAAAGGTTTTCATTGAATAAAGTCCTACAACTTAATAATTTAATAGTTTTTTAACAGAAAAGATATGTAGTCGACAGTGTGAAATGCTACACTCAGGTCTAGAAGAATTAAAACTGTACTTTTTCCAGAGTCAGCAGATAAAAGCAACATCATTGAACACCTTCAGTAGAGCAGACTGCGCTGTGGAAGGCTCTGAAACCAGACTGATATTTATCCAGAATTATGTTATATTATGTGCGTCTAAGAACGAGGATAATTGGTGGAGGAAAACTTTCTCTAGAACCTTAAGAAATGGCAGCTTAGAGATTGGTTTAAAACAGGGATAATGAAAGTGGTTTAAATTCTGAGAAAAAGAATGAACATGCAGGTTGTTCAGAAGGGTCTTGGGGTGGGAGCAGGATATGTGCTCTGATGTTATCAGATTTTTCAGTAAAGAACTTTTGAAAATCCTCAGACGTGTGTGGGACAGACTCAGATATGGCTGAAGTGGTGGGATGCAGGACAGAGTTGATTGTCTTGAATAGAACTTTAGGATAACCAGAATTCTTAATAATGATCTTAGAGAAATAATTTACTCTTTCTACCTTGCTGGTGCGCTGATAGTTATTTAAACAATCTCTAAACACTTGGTAAGAAATGTGGAGCTCATCTTTCTTCCATTTTCGTTCTGCTTTCCGGCATTCCTGTCTGGCGGCATGAGTGACCTTATTAAGCCAAGGCTGAGTTTTACATTTTTGCCATCTACATTTTAGAGGAGCAGTTGAGTCTATAATGTTGGTACAAGCAGAATTAAAACATGCAAGTAGCTCATCAGGATTATTGCAATGAAGAGAACTTTCATCAAACGTCAAGGCTCTGTGTGCGGGCAGGCAGGGATCCAAATGCAGGACTCGGAGACTGAACGCAACTCAAAAAACCTCAACTTCATTGCTGGCAAAAAACAAAACATGAACTGAACAATGACTACTGCAAACCAAAACACACAGGCACAATCTGAGGGTACAACACGACACTGACACAAAGAAACACGAGGAAGTCACCAAGGAATAGAAAACAGGAGGGAGACACAGCTGGGAGAGATTAGGGCTAACGAGACAGGGGGAGCGAAGCTAGACACACAAACATAAGACATAACCCTTCAAAATAAAACAGGAAACAATTCACAAAGACGCAGACTAAGAAACGCGGACTTACACAGAGGGAACACACG